GTAGGATGATTTAAAAAAAACAATAAATAACATTAAATCTTCCAACCTGTTCTGCCGCTGGAAATAAGTTTTGATTTTCCGCTCTCCTTTCGTCCTGCTTCACAGCGAGGCTGACCCCCCCAGGTGCGAGTTGTATGGATTTTTTTGCAACGTTTACGGATTTTTGAGGCTTTTTATTCAGGTAAACGTCCTAATAGGTTGCCATGTAAGGGACGACAAAGTACAGACTTGTTATTGAGTTTGTCAACACAAACCGCTACCTGAGAGGCACTACTAGGCCCTCCCCCATCAGAGTGTCGGAGCAGGACGAGTCAGTGCAACGTCAATCAAATGAGAGAGGGTGGGGAGAAAAAGTTTTATGGGTAGAGTAGTTTATTTTTCCTGTAATACTTCATTATAGTTTTTAAGACCAAGTTAATTGAAAGGGGGCGCTGAGCAGAGTTACAACCAGGGATTACAAATAATTACTTTTTTCTTCTGCAGTTTGGCGCCCCCTCCAGCAGATGGCGCTCTATGCGACCTCCTAGTTCGCCTATGCCAAGAGCTGGTTCTGTTACACACTAATATCTGGAGACTCTTTCAAACTTCACTTCATATAAAGTTCACGATAACTTTTGAGTTTTTATCCGTTTTTCAGCAGATTTCTCTCAGGGCTTCATTTAATAACAGCAACTTTTGCAAAAAGCTCCTAAAATGTTTATTGTCCTATTAAATGTGTGCTCTTTTTTTATCACTGTAAGGGGAAGTCCTACTTGTGACGTKTCATGCATCTGGCCCGTTTGGGAATCAGGAGCTCGGGGGCGGAGGGGGAGGAAGGGGTTGTTCAAGTTGCCAGGGAGGATTAGGGATTAGTTTTACTGGCGGATTAGGTTTTGCGTGCGTGCAGAGGCATGATGGGGTTAAACATGGATGGCGACGGCGGTGGTCGCACGACAGCCCAATCAGTGGTGGAGAGGCGGGGGGKCAGGTGGTGAGGGGGGGTCAGGCGGAGACAAAACAGAGAGCTCCAAAAGGCGCGCGGGGACGGGAGGGCTGAGTGGACCTGTGTTGCAGTTTGATAACAAAACTACTGCAGAGCTGCATGATTTTAGGAACCTGGTTTGTTTTGTGAAGCTGAAGTCCTTATCAGATGTCTAAATGAAAACATTAAAGTRCCTGTGACGTCCAAATCAAAGAAAACATCTTTATATTTAAAAAACTTAGCATGAAACACATGATTTTTATCCAATCTGTCCCAAAACTGGCTTTTTTTTTTAACTTCACACAGTTTAGCTGAAACAGGAAGTGACATCAAAGGGGAACTCTTTAAGTAAACTGAACTTCCTGGTCTTTGTTTRTTGAAACAATATTATTTGAGCTCCGACTCTTTTTCATTAGTTGCTCAAAATAACCTAAAGAAATGTCAGATTCTTCTCTAAAAGATGCGTTTCCGTTAACCGTGAAAATGCGTAAATTAGAATTTCGAAAATAAATTTGCTCAATGGAAACACGTCAATTTCGAAAAAAAATTATGTTTTTCGACAAAATGTTTTGCGCTAGGATGAGGTGGTTTTTCGGCCGTATCGAAATTGGTGTTTTTCGCAAAACTGCGATGGAAACACTTTTTTCGCATCACGGGAGTCACGTGATCAACAACCGGCTGTTTCTAGTGGCGACAAAGACGACGACAAAGAAGATAACAGGAAGTAGAAGTAGTAGTAATATCACAGAAGTAGTAAAATAAAGTAGTAAACTCACCGACTACAATTTCCCAAAAACACAGCACACGTAGCCGCTCCCAAGTAGGGTCTTGTCGCTGGAAAGCCTCGATAAAAGACGCCGACGTCTCCTCTGATGATGAGGTAGCAACATGCTATGTGTTTACATCCATCGCCGCCATGTTTGTAATGACTTATCGCGAGAACAAACGTATTCACGTGACTTTAATAGCATTTCTTACTTAATGGAAACACCGCAGTTGCGAAACTGTTTTTCAACATTAACAGAATATCGACAAAAACTTGCACACATTTGTCTGACGGCCATTATGCTCTGGTCACACGCAGACTTTCCCCTTTGACATCACTTCCTGTTACTTCACATGCAAAGATCTGARCAACGGTTCATCTCAGTGGAGTGAATTTGTTTTTGAAATATGTTATCAATGTTTTCTTTTCCAAAAATGCATTCATATTGTTATGGACTAATTATCTATCTGTGTCACATGTTCAATGTTAATCTGTTTGTCCAGWCAACAGGACTCCGCAACGGACTGACCTCTCTTTTTTGATAAGTGACTGGGATCCTGTTCGTGACGCCAATTTCTGTCGCGGTATGAAGGCAGAAACACGTTGGAATAATGCCAGAAAAGTCTGCGTGTACGGTCGTAATAAATGATTTAATTCTGAGCAACAAACAAACAGGACCCARTCATGGTGTAAATTATTGGCTGTGTCTTTTCTGGCATTATTCCAACGTGTTTCTGCCTTCATACCACAACACATATCAATTACAAAAAAATTTGTCACGGGCACTTTAAAAGAACTCTTTGCAAAATATGAAGTCGAACATTAAAAAAGCGTTATGATGACTTCAATGAAACGGTGCAGTTTGAAAGAATCTACTCATAATGTTGTGCAATTCTGAAATGCGGGTGTGCAGTCAATATAAACATCTGAGCAAAAACCAATGCATCAAAACTGTCAGACTTCTCAATCACCATTGTTAACATATTTTCATTCACTCTGACTGTTTCCATAGTTTTTCTTTTTTTGGACCAGTCTTCTTGACATTGCAACAAACACCTTTGACAACAGGAATCTTCATTCCGTACAAGCTGCGCCTCGTCTAACAGCCCACGACCCAGCTCCGTGTAAAAACCTGGAGAYGAGTCTCTCTCTCTCTCAGGCACYGACTCTTTATCTCCCCCTCTGTCACTAAACCAAATGGGAGAACAGCAACGCAGCATCTGGCACCATTAAACACTCCTTATGAGGGCGGAAAGGCTTTAAATGCTTTGTTTGCAGGCGCAGCAGATGAAGAGAGGTGTCTGTGGTTTAAAGGAGCGGACAGCTCCAGGTGCTGAAACGGTGACTCCACGAAGCAGCTCTGTAACCGCCTGTGTCAGAAACGCCTAAATCTGTCTTATTTTGTTACACCAGACCTGCAGTTCTAGAAAATCTGCAATTTATGCTCCATTCTGGTTTTCTTTTTTTTTTTTTTTGAGTCTATATCCTAAAAAAACAATTATATTTCCTCCCACTCTTGTTTTGTGTGTAACCAAATCAAACGTACAAACAAAGATACTGAGTGCAGAAACGCAGTGAAAACCTTCCTAATGCCTCCATCTTTTTTTGTTTTTTTGACAAAAAATTTACASCACCACACATCCATCTCTGCCGGGACTCGAACCCGGAGCCTCTGGATTAGAAGTCCAGCGCGCTATTCCATTGCGCCACAGAGACCGAGGCACGACTTTCCTCGATGAAAACCAGGTTTATGCTCCCCCCACCCATCCCTGCGCAGCATCCGGCTCCATCCCTCAGCATCAGGACCGCAGYGAGTGATTTATCCTCCACCGGCCGGTAGGGGGCGCTGCCGCCGCGCTTCCACTCCCCCATAGAAACAGCCCTGAACTCCACTGCTCCCAGGCAGGTCGACCTCATCAAAAGCACCATAATGTCGACATTATGGAGCAACTATAAGATTTAAAATCCTCTAAGTTCATCAGCAGTTAGAAGCCAAGCGGGCTCGTTTCTTGTAAGGAATAAAAAGCTCGTGTTTTAGCTCAGCACCCGTTTTATTTAAAAAAAAAAAACCAATATTTCAAAAACAGGGTTTTAACCGTTTCATGCAATCCTGTGGAGCTTAAGTAATTTTCCAGTCCATCACAATAGCAATTTGCAGTCCCGATGGATCTGTGGCTCAGGTCGAAAAGCGCCCGTGGCTTTGATTAGACTCAGTGTGGGAAGTCATCTACAAACTCCCTGAACCAGTCCACAGATGTTCTCCTCCAGATGAGCTTACACTGGGATTTATTTGGTCAGAAATGAAAATGGCTGAATACGTGCGGGCATGTTTGAAATTATAAGCACGACTCCAAAGAGGAAGCGTTAATTCTTTCATTTTATAAACCCTGACAGTTACAAAAAAAACTTAAATGTTAACGATATCAAAAGGTCCAACATTAAACGAAGGAGTTTTGCTGAATTTTTTGCATGTTTGAATTTTAAGCTTTATGGTGCTTCACCACAATCAGACAAATTTATTTYGAACATGAAGACCATACAAAGAGATAACCATACATTTTACACATATTAAATACAAAATACACATATTTTATGGCAATAATAATCTCAACATATTCAAAATGGAGTAGGAAGAAGTAAAACACAAATTTATACCCCRTACTATTTTCAAATAAAATATAATAATAAACCTCAGGCTGATTTAGTAAATTGTTAAATTACAATGTAATTTAACTGTAATTTCATTGTGCTCTCTGTATGACAATAAAGTTCTCTCTAATCTAATCTAATCTAATCTAATCTAAATTTATTTTTACCCTTGTACAACCTTTTGTGTTACAATCACTCATATCCACACATTAAAGGATAAACACATGAATCTAATGTACCTGAACATTGAAATTTAAGTAAATCAGTTTCCATTTCACAGTTGCCTTTTTTTGGCATAAGCGCACTACACACACACACACACACACACATATATA